TGTGCGGTGTGCAGGGGGCAGCCAATCAATGGTTCTCTCTCTCATCATTGATGTTTCTATCTCTCTGTCCCTCTCCCTTCCTTTCTGAAATCAATAAAAATATATTTTTTAAAATGTGGACAATTTTGAAGTAGGTTATAACAGGAAAATGAGAAGGCATGTGACTAGGATAGTGTTTCTCAAAAATCCAGGAACACTAACTCCTCAAGGTGACTAGAGAAAACAGTGTCCTGTGGCAAAATGTTTTTTGTAAATTCTGCATATTATCTCCTGCTTTTAGAGAATTACAACACATCATGGGTAGAAAAAAAGGGTATTAAAGGGTAGAAAAAAACTTGAAGTAAATAAAGTTATTTACTTCAATGTTTCCCAAACATTCTCAACAATAAGACGTTTTTCTTTGTGTAGTAACAATTAACATACTGTTGAACTGTCTTCCATGAAATATATCTTAAGAAACACTGGACTATGAAAATTTGAAGAAATGCCAATAATGAGTGTCCAATTGTATTCATAAAATTAATTTATTTGAAAAAAGACTCCAAAATACAGAGAACAATTTAATATACATCCATGTACTCCTCAGAATTAAAAGGTTAAGATTAAGTTACAGAAATTTTAATGCTTATTTTCTATTATAGAAATATATTTATGATACAAATTTGGGAAGTATAGGAAAATCTACTCTATTTTCCCATCTTAGTAAAAACACAATGTTTTGAGGCAGTTACTTTAATCTTTATTTTTTAAATTGTTTACATCACTATAACAATGCAGCATATATAATTTTTTGTTGTTAAATATTGACAATGTGTCATAAGCATTGTTGTACATTTTCAATGCTATCATTTAAAAAAATATATTTTTATTGATTTCAGAGAGGAACAGAGAGGGGGAGAGAGATAGAAATATCGATGAGAGAGAATCATTAATCAGCTGCCCCCTGCACAGCCCACACAGGGGATCAAGCCTGCAACCCGGGCATATGCCTTTACCAGGAATCGAACTGTGACCTCCTGGTTCATAGGTCGATACTTAACCACTGAGCTACTCTGGCTAGGCTTGATGCTTTTTTTAATACTGCATAATATGACAAGTGGATAGTCCATTATTTAACCATTCCCCTTGGTTTCAGAATTTAGATTGTTCACAACTTTTTCTCTTTTGCATTGAGCACATTGGAGCATTACACCTATATTTATTTTTTTTTTAGGAATTATTTAAATAGAATAATAATATTTCAAAGGCAACGTACATTTTATTTTTTTTGAGAGGGGCAATGTACATTTTAAAGGGCTTTTGAAAAAACACTGCTAACTTGCCTGGGGTGGGGTGGGATAAGAGATTGTATCATCAACAACATATTAAAGTGACTGTTTGGCTCTAGCTGGTTTGGCTCAATGGATAGAGCGTCCGCCTTCGGACTAAAGGGTCCCGGGTTCTGATCAAGGGCACATGCCTTGGTTGCAGCTCTTTCCCATCCCAGGCTCTGGTAGGGACTCCTGCAGGAGGCAACCAATCAAAGTGTTTCTCTCACACTGATGTTTCTGTCTTTCCCTCTCTCTTCCACTCTCTAAAAATCAATGGAAAATTATCCTCGGGCGAGGATTAATAACAAAATAAGTGACTGTTTGCTCTGTTTCCCCCAATTTAATTCAGGTTTTGTTCGTTAGCAGTGGCCAATTTTTCCAGCTGATGGAGATTTACAAATCCTAACCTGTCACTTATTGAATTATTTATGCCCACTGTTTTTGCAACATACTAAATATGCTATATATTTCTTCATCTAGGCAGTAGATACCATTTTTCACCCCATAAAAATAGGTAAGGACAGTGTCCAAAGGAAGATTGTAAAGACCATGTTGAAATATACCAATTTATCAATGCTCTATGGATATTGTTTAAGGAGCTCCAAAGCTAGCTTTATCAGCACGTTGATAATGACTAATCAGAGTACTGAAGTCACCTAGCTCTAGTATCTCAGTCTACTTTCTCTCATCTTGTTCACCGGATTTAATGGAAGACTTTGTCAAACATGGTTTTTAGGGATGAGTTACTTATCTTAGGCGTTTCCCTCATGATTCCCAGTAATTCTTGATGACAGACTGTATCTTACACATTTTTGTATATTAGAGTCTAGAACAGAACTTGACTGGTACATAGTATATAGTAGATTCTCAATAAAGATTTGAATGACATGCTTAATTTGGCATGAACTTAATGAACCTCTGTTGTCTCTCCATAAGACACCACTTTCTAAGCATCAATAGACATATACTTTCACTTAGAAATGTGTAATGAATGGAAAAAGCACATATTTTGTAATTGGAAGTTCTGAGTTTAAGTTCTGGCTTTGCAATTTACAGTTGCTAATTTTGTGTAACTCCAGGTTTTAGTTTGTTCATCGACGACAAAATGGTGGTAACCCACCTTCTTTACTTTCCTCATAGGGTTCTTAGATGGATCAAAATGCTATTTTCTAAAGGGACATCTGATAATGTCATTACTTGACTTTTTAAAACCCTTTAATAACTTTCTATTGCCCTCAAGAAAAAAACCTAATCCTTTAACATGCTTTATAAGGACTTCTGTAATATGGTCCCTGCTCAATCCTGCATGATCACTATTCTAACAGTCTAATCTTTCTTTCTCCTCAGGGCCTTTTGTACAAGCTGTTTGTTTTGCCTGGAATGCTCTTTCTTGCATTCTCTTAGGTTGATTAATACTAGCCGTGATATTACTAATAGCAATAGGTGCAACATACTTATTACTAAGCATGGGATACTTTAAATACATTCCTTTATACTTTATGAAGTAGGTACTATTCTTATCTGCTTTACAGCATAGAAAAATGAAGCAACTTATCCAGCATAACACAGCTATTGTAAGTACTAGGTTACAAACTCAGCTCTCTCTGAATTAAAAGTAGATGTTCTCAACTCCTACTCTTAAGGTATCAACTTTCTCCATGAAGTATAACATCTGTAAGATCCCCTAACAGCCAGTGTGATAAGGTTAGCACTTAAGACACTGGTTTATAATTGCCCGTGTACTTTCTGCCTCTGAGGATAAAAAAACATTTAACACAGACAAGACTGCATCTTGTTTACTTTTACTTCCCTAGCTCCTAGCACAGTTCCTTGTACATGTAATAGGCATTAATAAATATGGTGAATAAATAAATATGGGAAAATGTTTTAAAACAAAGACATAATACAATGTAATTATTTTCAAAGTTAGCTAAGGAACATCACCAGGCTTACCAGTTTGTGGTCTATGGAATCCACTTTTCCCCTTTTTTGCCGTGTGGCACACTTGTTTGTATCTGTTCGTGATCTCTTCTGTTTGCCACAATTCCTTAAGTACTACCAGCAAACATCCCCCGTCCCCCTTAATAACTGCCATACTGCTTTTTGAGAAAATCTTTTACAGAGAAGAAAAATTAAAATGCTAAAATTACTTTTCCCTTCATAGCAATTCTTTACAAGTCCTGAAAACTTTTTAATATAGCAGAGCAAAACATCAGAGAGTTCTGATGGGGAAAAATTATCTTTTATAAAATGAATTTCAAATCAAGGCTAGGCTGAAAAAAAAAAACACCCTAATATATTTATAAATGAAACCTTCCGTTGCTGCCTAGACAGTGTTGTCACCAGGAAGCATCTCATTTTTCATATTTTACTGAAGCCTTTCAGGAACATAAATTCATAAATTCAGAGAAAACAGGTGCAGCACCGAGCAGGGGGTTTGCCTAAATCAACCTTTTTTAGGTTCAGTCTTTTTTTTTTTTTTTTTTAATAGAACGCCAGAATTTAATCAGGCATGTAGTTGTCATCACCTTCAAGGGGAAGGAAAAAAAGTAGGGTGGTGAAAAAAGAGGAAGTATGGCAAACAGGATAAAACTATTCTTCAAATGAAGCAAGGGCGTGGGCTCCGTCTCCAGGTGCGGACCCGCCAAGCGCGGTTTTTCAGATACTTTGTCCTTTCCATCAAAAAACAACATCTGGCTTTGCAAGTAAGAGGATGTACAAAACAGTTCGTCTCGTGAGAACGTCCCCAGCCGGAGGAGCGTGCGGGAACGCCATTGCGGACCGCCCGTCTCTCTGACGCAGGCTCGCGGACGCCCGGCGGCCGGACGCCTGGCTGGGCTTCCCCTCGCGTTCCCGCTACCCACAAGGCCCCGCGCCTCGCCGCGCATGCGCAGCGCCGACGGACGTCTCAGGAAGAGGAAAATGGAATAAACAACTCGGAGGAACCAGAGCGCGAGAGAGCGAGTGGAGGCAGAATTTAAAAATAAACCGGCACCTCCGCCCTCCCCACCTGTTCGCGGCTGCCGCTCCCCCTCCCCTAGCCTGCGCCCTCGAAATCCCTGCCTGGGCCCTCGCGCCCACCCCGTCGTCCCGCACGGCCCCTTTAAGACAAGAGAACGAGAGAGTGAGTGAGAGAATCCCAACTCCCACTCCCCTCCGCGACCTCCTACCCGGTCCTCCCTCCTTTCTACTATTGCAGGATCAACGGGAAGGCAAGCTTAACGAAGCGGGACTTGCATTCGCGTGCGATTCTTTTATAAGAAAAGAGAGGAGGGTATTCAAAAAGCAAACAACTTGTGTAAGGGTACAAAATAAGTGTCATCATGCCCTAACTGGTTTGGCGCAGTGTATACAGTGTCAGTCGCGGGACTGGCAGGTCCTGTTTTCGAATCGCGCAAGAGTATAAACCCGGCCTTTGGACACGTTCGTCAATTGGGAGCCGCCGGAGAGAGTGGGAGAAGAGGGGGAGAGGCGAAATTCAGAGACAGCTCTACAGCCTCATTTTCTTGCGCGACACGCAAACTATGTTATTCATACTGAGGTCAAGGAGCTCCAGAGGGGT